GTTAAGGACTTTGGGTCAAGCCCTTACTGAGTGTGCATTTTAGATTATTTTTCCATGATATGATCTTGCAGTTTTTTTCCAGCTGTGAATGTCATTTGGCTATTTTCTGCTACATCCCTAGCAAATGTCAGGGAGTCTTCTATTCTTCTCACTTTACAGTCATAAGAATCCCTACTGGGGCAGAAGGTGCAGAGTGGGGGGCTGTTTTGCAGATGTCATTCAGGTTAGAAGAGAGAAGCGCTCTCGCATGCTATCCTTATGTTAGTACTTATTGTAAAACAGTTTACTTCTCCTCCTCCAAGTCATATTATTTTAAAACCATGCACCATTACAGTGTGAATTATAATACTCTTGTTGTACATTACTTTAATAACCGTTAGAAGATTGAGATATCTACCAACTTTATTATAACCTTTTCTTGGCATATAGAAGAGAGTTCATTTATATGTTTTACAGTCACTACTGTTAAGCTATAATTTAACAAGCTTAGTACCTATTTTTCTTATTAATCCATTATCCTTTATATTTCTGCTTCCTAATAGCCAACCAAACTGTAAGGAATTGTGCACCATTCCTGAAGAATTACACTGGAGGATTCAAAACCTGAAAGAAACTTCTTTTCACTCCGTTTGCAAAAGAGGCGTAGACAGAGAGCCAAATCAGATAGAGCAGGAGTGGCCAACCTGTGACATGGATGCGTGCCTCTGGTACACAGGAGGCTGGGGAGAAGATGGGCAGAATAAGGCAGGGAGCACAGGACAGGAAGCAGAGCAGCAGCTTGATCAGGGAACAGAAAGCTGAGCAGAAGCCTGGGTAAGAGAAAGGGATCATAGTAGCACTCAGGAGGGTGCGGGGCTAGTTTCTGGCATGCCTGCCAAAAAGTCTGGCTCCCACTGAGACAGAGGATACGCACAAACATACATTTTAGCTGCTTTAGGACGGAAGCAGGAGCTGCTGCTCAGGAGCGCGCGACAGCTGTTAAGAGATGCAACTGTTATGTCTGCATGATCCTGTAGCTGTAAACAGACATCGCATTTGACACTGGCCTGATTGTCTCAGCGTCACCCTTTCAAATTGCATTCCTGTTCCTCCCCCAGTAGGTAGCTGGTGAGACCACACGGCCTCTGAATGACCTGCAATAACCTTACAGATGAACACAGCAATGTCCCGGGAAACAGTGACAGCACATTTTATCCAGCATGCTTCAAAGGGACTTGAAGTAGGACAGTGGGCTTGTACGTCTGTAGGGTCATGAGACAAAACACTTTTCTGGGAGAAATGTGGTATCTGTTTACAGCCTTAATGACCCAACTTTGCGGGAATGAGGCAGAATTAGACCTGGAACAGTTTTGCTATGCTTGTATCACTACAGAATTATGTAGACATAACAGTTACAACCTAACAGCTTATATATCATATTCGTTGATAGTGGGACAACCGTTATATCTGCCTATGCCCAGAGAACAATCACTGTACAAGCCAAAAAATAACAACTGTTTAGCAGATGCAATTCTTTAATAGTAATACTGCTGGGAATGTCTAAAGAAAATACTAAACTGACATCTTTTTACTTAAAATGGTAATTGGTTTTCTGACCTACTGCATCTCCAAAATCTACAAAAGATTGCTTAATACTATGAAGTTATGTGGATGAATCCCCTGTAATTCTCTGGCAACGAATTCACATGGTAGGAGTATAATGACATAAAAAAATATCAGTAGGCCACTCCACAATGTATGTAACCTAAAGCCTCACTTATAGGAGTATAATGTGTGCAAAACCCAAACGATCTGTGCTTTCATTTCCCCACCAAGAGACTTATTATAGTTTTAAAGAACTCGCCGCTTTAAAATAATTGTAAGTCTGTGGTGGGTTGTCTTGATTTTTTAACCTTTAGAACAATATACTGTAAAAACGTCAATATATATTACCTACAGGCTTGTCCTGGTAACACTCCAGGGTCTTCTAGGGTTATACAAAGGCTACTTCAGCCATTCACAGTAATTTTAATAGGACACTTTTTATTCTCCCTTGTTTAAGATCTTTTGGGAAAGGCTGACAATGCTGTTTGATCAAAAAAGCACAGAAGTCTTTTCTTGTGGAAATCTCTTTGTGAATTAGCTTTTTCCACTGTAAGCATTTTGCCCAGGGAGTAGGGAAGCAAAGACACAGTATTTGGATAGTGGACAGAATGATGCCTACTTTTGTGCATGTTCACTACCAGAGACAATGATTTATTTTGTTATGAGAAGTCCCAGTTTAAACAAGAGGGAATAGATTCCCCAGGGCACTGGTGGAAGCCTCAGTGGTTTCAGATCTTTAAACAATGTGAGGGACAAGTTTTATTAATGTGTTAAAAAGAAAAATCCACACAGAACTAAGGCCAATGACAGATTTTGGGGGGGGGGGGGGGGGGGAACAAGGCCCCACATCTTTGTGGGGTGGTGGAATCACGACACACATGCTTTACTGGAAGAGGAAGCACTTTAGTTCGACCCAGCTTCCCAGCATCTGTATAGATATGGTGCTGCAATGGGGCTTTTTGGCGCTTTTATCTAAAGCTGATTCAATCAGTTATTAGATAAAACCACCAAAAAGCCCCACTGAAGCGCCTGAGCCATACAGACACTGGGCAAGCTGGGTCCAACTAAGGTGCTGCCTCTTCTGGACATGCGCTCTGCTCAGTGGGGGACGTGCCGAGCTGAAAGTAAAGCATGGCCTGGTTTTGTTTTCTAAGTAAGCTATCTAAATGAGTAACTAATTGCAAAATGACTCCGTGTCTGAAAGCTAGAACAGGTGTTCTTAGTTTTGCATGTGTTGCTTACATGAAACTAATAGAAAACCTATAGGAAAATTGTGGCTCCTTGTTCTTTTTCTATGCTTTTTTTTTATCTTTTGCTCTGAAATAATCCTCCTAAGAAACCCTGGCCACCCTGAAGTTATTGGGAAGTCTGCCGCTGACTTCACTGGGGCAGTGGTTTCACCCCTATCTATTTTTACGTTCCTTTACA